CGGAACGGACCAAATCTCGGAGCCGTTTTTGGGCCATCTCCAGGCCATCCTGGGGCGTTTCGATTTTGGGTCACCGTGAAGCCATCTCGGCCGACTTGGGGACGCGTGGGGCCGTCCGGAAACCACCTGGGGCCGCCCGGGAACATTTCTGGATCAGATGATCCCGCTGGCACCTCCTGGTCAGACCCCCTCGCTTCCAAACTGGCCAGACCGGGTACCCAGGACCCCTTGCGTTGTCCTGGAGCCTTTAGCGCCGCCTTCGTGCTGTATTGAGGGCATCTCTTGGGCCATCTTGAAGCCCTCTTCGGCGGAGTCCGTTGTCGGCAACCCCAAAAGACGTGAGCGCAGACACATTGAAAACACCCAAGGGGAATCAGTGACTTTTGCCTCCAGAGTCCATCTTGCGCCTGTTGGGTGGGCATAATTTCGGTCCCGAGTCCCAGCGTCGCGTGGCATTGGCACGACGTTGCGCGTGTGGGAAAAAGGATTTGACCAGTTCCTTCAAGCCCCTGTAGGGCTCATCCATCCCATTTGCTGAAACTGGTGCTCGCCCTGGCAGACAATCAACAGTATCGCCGCCATCTTCATCGGCATTTGGGAACCGGTCGTTAGGTTTTGGGCGGTGCTTGCCACGCACATTCTGTCAGTGTGTATGCATAGCGCGCCAGGAAAAGCTCTTCATTCTCACGTCCTCGTCCACGTCGCCGTCCTTGTCCATGTCGTCGTCGTCGTCGTTGTCGTCGTCGTCGTCGTCGTCCAGGATGATGTCGCCCGCTACATGAACGAGATAAACCTGGCCCGCCGCCAGCTGCCGCCGCGCCCACGGGCACTACTTCGAGGGAAGAGGCCAGAAGGGAGAATCCAGGCGGGAGGTGCGAGAGGAGGAGGAGGAGGAGGAGGAGGAGGAGGAGGAGGAGGAGGAGGAGGAGGAGGAGGAGAAAAAGGAGGAGTAGGAGGTGGAGGAGTAGGAGGGAGGAGGAGAGGAGAGGAGGAGGAGGAGGAGGGGAAGGAAGGGGAGGAGGAGGAGAGGAGGGAGGAGGAGGAGGAGGGAATGAGACGGAGGGACATGAAGATGGGGAGGGTCGAGGATCGAGGCTGCCTGGCATCATCAGTTGTTATGGGCTTTTAGGCTCCTCCTCATCCTCCCTGCCTCCTCCCTCCTCGTTCTCCTCCTCCTCCTTCTCACCCGGACGCTTATGGAGCCCTCCGGAGATGCCTGGGGACTTCTTGGGATCTCTGGGGACCTCCAGAGATTTCTGCAGGGCGACAGGGTTCAGGCGGGGCCAGGACCAGGGTAGGGAGCGTTCTGCAACTACCGCGGCGTCCGATACGTTCTCCAGAACCGCCAGATCTCAGAGATCCCCACCTTATGCTGGTCCGATTTCGCCCCCGTCCTTCTCCTCCTCCTCCTCCTCCTCCTCCTCCTCCTCCTCCTCCTCCTCCTCCTCCTCTTCCTCCTCCTCCTCCTCCTCCTCCTCCTCCTCCTCCTCCCCTCTCGATCGCTCCTCTCCTGCTCCCTCCGCCTCCTCCTCCTTCTCCTGCTCCTCCTTTTCCTTCTCTCTTCTCCTCCCTCTGCCCTTCTCCTCTCGTCCTCCTCGTCCTCCTCGTTCTCGTCGTCGTCGTCGTCCTCCTCCTCCTCCTCCTCCTCCTCCTTCCCCTCATCCCTCCTGTTCCTCCTCGTGGCACGAGCACGGAGTGCAGAGAAGGGTCGCGGAGGTGGAGTAGAAGGCGGCGGGAGCAAGGAAGCGCGGAGCCCGCTCGGGCACCTATCGCTCGCTTTCTCTCGAAGATGACGACGCGGCGACGTCGTCTCGTCGGAGATCTTCGTCGTCGGCGGCGTTGTTGTGGGAGGTGGATGGGAGTGTTGCGGAGGAGCAGGAGGAGGAGGAGGAGGAGGAGGACGTCGATGATGTTCCTATTGATGATGTTTGTGTGAGGATGATGGTGCTGGTGTTGATGATGACGAGATGGTGATGCAGACGAGGAGGAGGATGAGGAGGAGGAGTATGAGGAGGAGGGGGACTTACCTTTCGCTCCCCTCTCACCTCCTTGATGGGGGCGAGCATGGGGGATTGGCCCATGGGTGCACAATCGACCCCCATTCCCATACACAACTGATTTGGGCTTGGGTAACCCTCCCCGCCCAGAGACGTGTAGGAGGAATTACGAGAGGCCTTGGAAGAGGAGGAGGAGGAGAAGGAGCAGGAGGAGGAGGAGGAGAAGGAGGAGGATAAGGAGGAGGGAGGAGGCGGAGGATGCGGAGGAGGAATATGAGGAGGAGGAGGACGAGGAGGAGGAGGACGAGAAGGAGGAGGAGGAGGAGGAGGAGGAGGTGAAGGAGGAGGAGGAGGAGGAGGAGGAGAAGAAAGGGAGGAGGACGAGGAGGAGGTGGAGGACGGCCAGGAGAGAGGGTAAAGGAAGAGGGAGGAGGAGAGAGAAGGACAAGTAGGAGGAAGAAGACGAGGAGGAGGAGGAGGGGGAGGAGGAGCAGGAGGAGGAGGAGGAGGAGGAGGAGGAGGGAGCTGGAGATGAGCGATCGGGAGGGGATGAGGCGGAGGAGGAGGAGGCTGCGGAGGAGAAGGAGGAGGATGTGGAGGTGAAGGTATAGGCGGCTGAGGAGGACGAATTGCATGACGATGATAATGAAATCGATGATGATGGGTATTATTATGATGATGCTGATGATGATTATGCAGCTGATGATGATGACGATGATGATGCGGACGCTGACGATGCTGATGGTGATGATGAGGATGATTATGATACTGATGATGATGATGCTGATGCTAATGATGATTATGATGAAGATGACGGTGGTGTTGGAGATGACGATAGTAAGGATCGGTGGTGATGACGTCGATAATGATGAAGGTGGTGATGATGAAGATGCAGCTGATGGTGATGCTGCTGATACTGGTGATGATGATGCTGACGGGGGTTGTGGCGATGATAATAAAAATGATGGGTGGTGATGATGTTGATTATGATGGTAATGGTTGTGATGTTGATGATGCTGAAGACGACGCCGATGCTGCTGCTGATGATGATGCCGACGATTATGCTGATGACGGCGATGGTGTTGATGATTATGATGATGAGTATGCTGATGGTGATGCTGATGACGAGGATGATCATGATGATGATTATGCTGATGACGACGATGATGATGCTGCTTATGATGATGCTGACGATGGTGCTGCTTTATGCTGAGGTTGATGATGCTGATGATGCTGCGGATGATGATGTTGATGATGACGTTGCTGATGATGATGATGATGCTGATGATGATGATGATGATGATGATGATGATGATAATGATGGTGACGATGATCAGGCGGAGGAGGGGGAGGCGGAGGAGGAGGAGGAAGGGCGAGGACCAGTGTAAACCGAAGGTGCATCTACGAAGTTGGAATAGACTCTCCCTCCAAAGTACCTCCCCTGAGGTTCCTGCAATAGTCTGTTGTCATCGCGGGGCGTGGCCCATTAGAAGACAACCCTCCGATCTTCAACGGTTCCAACGCACCGTCCTTGGGACTTCAACGCTGTGGATCAACGTGAGTGTTGCGCTCCGACAGTCCTACATCGCTTCAGCAAGCAATTCCTGGAACTTCAACACAACAAACCGACGTGACCATTGCGTCTTGCCAATATTTAAACCGTGCCAGGCCACTACTCCTGGGACTTCGGCCAGACGAATCCTTCACGGTGGCGCACGTTCGAGACGAATGCGCGTGGCGCTAAGGAGAGATACACATTCTGAAGCGGAACCGCCCTCCATCGTTGGATGTGTTGCAAGCTTTCAAGGCGAAAGTGCGCGGCTCTAAGGCGAGAGCACCTCATTTTGAAAAAGCACGAGCCCTCCATCCGTGAAACTGTTGCAACCTTTTAAGGCGAATGTGCGTCGTGCTGATGCGGGAACACCATTTTGGAAAGGACCTGCCCTCCATCCGTGCAACTGTTGCCACCTTTTAAGACGAATGTGCGCGGCCGTAAGGCGAGAGTCACCTCTTGAAGATCACCCGCCCTCCATCCGTGAACGCGTTGCAACTGTCAAGCTTCAGGATCACACATGGCGAAGAAGTCTCAGACGAAACGCCCAGCACACCCTGCGGACACGTTTGCGGGCGCGACGGGGAGGAGTTAGTTCTACGGAAGAGGGGTGGAGGAGGAGGAGGGTGGAGGATGAGGATGATGTTGATGTTGACGTTGTTGATGATGATGGTGATGATGATGATGCCGATGATGATGATGATGATGATGATGATGATGATGATGATGATGATGATGATGATGATGCTGATGATGATGATGATGATGACGATGATGATGATGATGATGCTGATGCTGATGATGATGATGATGATTATGATGATGGTGATGATGATGATGATGATGATGATGATGATGATGATGATGATGATGGTGGTGGTGGTGGTGGTGGTGGCGATGGCGATGATGATGATGCTCATGCTGATAATGATGATGATGCTGATGCTGATGATGATGGATGATGATAGATCATGATGATGATGCTTATGATGATGCTGGTGATGCTGATGCTGATGATGACGATGATGGATGATTATGGTGATGGTGCTGATGATGATGTTGATGATGACGTTGCTGCTGATGATGATGATGATGATGAGGAGGAGGAGGAGGAGGAGGAGGAGGAGGAGCTGGAGGAGCTGGAGGAGTGAACCCAGGATGCATCTGCGATGCCTGCAGTGCACTCTCCCGTTCCAGGGCCCCTCCTCAAAGAGGTCCCTGCGAGTGTTCGTCTCCCCTGCGGGAGGCGCCCCCTTGTTGAGAGCGACGAGCGCCCGCCAGGCCCGCCAACCCTGTGGGACCCCGCCTTCCCGTTCTCGAAGGATTGCAATCCTTTTTTTTGCAATCCTTTTTTTGCAATCCTGGGTTGTTTTGCAATCCTTCGGTTGTTTTGCAATCCTTCGGTGCAATCCGAGGATCCCCCCCATCGCAGGTAGGCAAAGAAGTGAACGACCTCATAGGAAGGTGCGCTGGACCTCGCCGCGTGCGTCGAGCTAGGCGCAGCATTTCAACGTTCGATCGGAGGTCCGCCTGCACCCATCGGTCGTTGAAAGTAGGTATTTTTGGATTCCCAGATTCCAATCTCCTTTCAGCGCCTTCCTACTTCAAGGGTCGAGTCGTTTTCCCTCTTCCTTCCTCGTCAGGAGGCGTGCGGAAACCCAATCTATTTCCAGCGCCTTCCTACTCCATGTTTCTACCTTCTTCTTCTTCCGACCGATGGGTACAAGCGTCGCACATGCACGGAGGACCAGCTTGCGGAACTCTTTTGATGAAGGCGCAGAGGCGAAATCGTAGGATGCTGAGGGTCTCAGAGTCGAGAGGGTGTCCAGCGATCGCCCCGATGTTTGGAGAAGCAGCCCTCCGGCCTCCGGCCACTCTTTGCAAGGATCGGGCCTCCTCCGTCCGTGTCATGACATGTGCGGACGTCTCAAGCGGTGCCCCACTTGGAAAAGGAGCTGCGCACAATCCGTTCAAAATTGGCACACTGTGGAATGTTGGGGCATCTAAGTGAAAACCTGCGTAGTGGGAGAGCCACGTTTTGAAGGTGAGCCAGCCTCCATCTTTGTAGTTGTTGAAAGCTTTGATGGCGAATGCGCGCGGCGCTAAGGCGAGAACCCCATTAAGAAAACGACCAGCACCCCATCCCTTTTGCAATCGTTTGAGAAGACTCATGTTCGTGCGTGCCAGTAAGGCGAGAGCCCCATGTAGGAAGCCACAGGCCCTCCATCCTTGTGATGGTTTTCTAGTTTCAGGGGCGTCGATGTTTGCGGACGTGCTAGACGAAACGCGCATACCGGACCACGGACACGGTCCGCGGTGAGACGGGGGATTATTCGTAACGAAAGCGGATGGAGGAGGAGGAGGAGGTGGAGGATGAGGAAGGGGAGGAGGGGGAGGAGGGGGAAGAGGATGAGGAGGAGGAGGAGGAGGAGGAGGAGGAGGAGGAAGAGGAGGCCGAGGAGGAGGAAAAAGGATGTAGGAGGAGGAGGAGGAGGAAGAGGCTCTGCGTCCCCCTCCCCTCCTTGGTGCCCGCGCGCAGAGCGACGGGCCACTCTCGTTCACGTCCTTTGTCGACTGGTGGGACCAGGCCACGCGCCAGCCCCGCGGGGGAGGAGTCTGAGCGTCGTCGTCGCTGCCGCCGCCGCGTTTCGTTCTTCCTCTCCCTCCTCCCTCCTCCTCCTCCTCCTCCTCCTCCTCCTCCTCCTCCTCCTCCCTCCTCCCTCCTCCTTCCCCCCGTCCTCCTCCTCGTCCTCCTCCTCCTCCTTCTCCTCATCTTCCTCCCCGTCCTCCTCGCTCTTTTCCTCCTCCTCCTCCGCGTCCTCCTCCCCATCATCCTAGTCCTTTTCCTCATCGTCGTACTCCTCCTCCGCCTCCTCCTCGTCCTCCTCCTCCTCCTCCTCTTCCTCCTCCTCCTCCTCCTTCTCATCGTCCTCCTCCCTTTCCTCTTCTTCCTCCCCTTCTTCTCTTCCTCCTCATCGACTTCTGTGAGTGCCAGGAAACTCAGAGGAAACGCTTCCCCGTCTTCATCCGTCTCCTCCCCGTCCTCCGTGCTCCTCCTTCATCTCTCTCCTCCTTGAGCGGCCTCTTGGACTCGGGTGGCGCACGATCTTTTCACGACAAGGACCCAAATCATCGCCATGAACACGTGTGGCGATGGAGGCCTGAACAGGTGATCGTTTCCCCGCCTCAGTGCGTGAGGCTGAGTACATATTGCTTGCCTGCCTCGACCTTTTTGCACCGCGTCGCTTTCCACGGGCATGAGAAAACAGCCAAAGGAGGCGGCAGTGGGGTCTGCCCAGCCCGCGCGCAAGGCCGTCTACGAGAGCCTCTACACGCCAGGTGGCAGAACGCACAAACCTGGCGCCCCACCCATGGCTGGTCTCGAGCGCTGTGCGGAGCGGCTGATGACCAAGCTCGGCCCCTCGAACATGCGGACGAGGAGGGGAGCGGCGAGACGACGAGGACGAGGACGTGAAGGAGCTGGCGAAACACACGGTTGGGGGGTGGAACACGATCCCTTGTGACCGCAGGAGGAGGAGGAGGAGGAGGAGGAAGAGGAGGAGGAGGAGCAGGAGAAGGAGATGGAGGAGGAGGGGGAGGAGGAGGAGGAACGAGGATGTGTAGAGCAAGATCACAGCACTCACGGTGACTTGGTGGGAAGACATGGTGTGTGCTTGGGCCAACAAAGACTGAAGGCCATGCAGGCTCGTTCACCACACCCCATTCCCACCGATTCTGCTCAGTTTGGCCGCTCGTTCGAGGTTTCATGTGCCCTTCCGTTCCAGCACCCTCTCAGCTTGCTCGGTCTCCCCGCTCGTGCCAGTTTAGTCAGGCCCGTGCGGCGCAAGTGCGAGTAGACGCGCAGGTGCAGATGATATCCGCGGACAGCTGCTCTGAGTGCTAGCTGCTGTGCTCGGCTACATGTTGTCCATCTAGCTAGCCGTGTTGTGCAGAGCCGAGTGTGCAACAGGGCAAGGCAGAGAACGGGAACAGCGGTTGCAGAGGAGGAGGAGGAGGAGGAGGAGGAGGAGGAGGAGGAAGAGTAGGGGGGGAGGGGGCTCGCTCAGCTCCAGGGGTCGTTTTCGGGCCCTGGGATCGTCAAAAACGGATCCGTTCGGAATTATTGCACCAGATGGCACCCCTGAAGGGGTTTGGGAACCGATTTTGAAAAGATTTGCCCTTATTCTTCCTTCTTGACCGATTTTCGCGAGGCTCTCCAGGTCAGACCGCGTGACCGCCTTCAAGTAGCATCGTCTTTTCGCTCCGCCGTTTGATGATCCTCTGAACGTGTGTTGGCCAAATGTGAGTGTGTGCCCAGTCGCTGGCCCCCAGCGAGATTGGCCCCCGCGCCGGGGTGTAACAAATGTGCCCGCTCCGAGTCCGCCTCCGCCCGTTCCTGTTCCTCTTCCCACGATTCCTCCTCAACCCTCCTCTTTCTCCTGCTTCCCCCTCCTCCGCTCCATCCTAGTTATCCTCGTCCTCTTTTTCCTTCTCCTCCCCCCTCTTCATTCGAACAGGAGCACGGATGCGCGCCCGCTGCCGTCTTGGCTTACAGCGTGCACGCGGACTAACTCGCATTGAAGGGAAAAAGACATACGGTTTGCTATTTCTTGCGCTACCATCGCCGCAGTGTCTTCTACCTTTGACCCATGGCAGTTGCAATCCTAGTTGGTCGTGTAGTGGAGCTGGGAACGATCCGGGCTGGCGATCCACGGGGCTGCGCATAGTGCGATGCGGACGCACATTTGCACTTTTGCCCAGTTCCTCAACGCTAGCACCCTCCGTCCCCTGAACAGTTTGTTCTTATGCTTGTTTTGCGAGCCTTCGGGTAATTTGCCTTGGACGCTCGCAGGCTACGATGAGGATTTTGTTGGACCGTGTAAGACGTGTAAAAGTCTAGCCGTGAGGGCAAAACGCAGCTGCAGGCTACTAGGTCATGATAGACACGCGCCCACGGGAACGCCACGACGTCTCCTATGACCCATCGCACCCCGCAAGTACTTGCCGTAACTCCGCGTCGAGCATGACGGCGAGGCTCCTCCCTGGGCCAGTACCGTGCTTCGTGATGTGTGCGGATGTGCTGGTTGTCCTGTATACAAGCACGTCGCGCCATTCGAATGGAACACTGAATATTAATGCACAATGTTCACCGTCCTTGGTTTCGACCAAAGTAGTTGGTACTACTTCGGCTGCCACGTGCTTCAACATGGTGTTCGTCCCCGCGCAGGCCCGAGCCCCAAGGCGATTCCGCAGCTTTGATCGTGGTGGGGTATTATCGAGGAGGGTCTCTGTCTTGGCGCTGGGGCGGCAGCAAACTACTTATCATCAGCCTGATGTCGCCGATGCGTTTTCTTGTCTGGAGTGTGGACCGCAGCCCGCCACTCGCGCATCCGGCGAGCGCTGCAGACACCACGTCCAGATGCAGCCCGCACGGTGGCTACGCCACGACCGTTGCTCACTTGGGTCCGTTATTTCATCCGTCCCCTTTCACCAGCCCGGAAACTGTGAGCTGCTGTGCTTTATCTTCTTCGGCGATACCTCACCACCAGCTACGCCGATTCTCTCCCAGGATCAAGCGTCCAGGCATGCCGCCGGCACCTCCTGTCGTGCCACGTGTTGTCTGGAAACTTTGTCACGCATACACACACCCTACACCAAGAAACAGTGAACTGGCCCAGCTTCCGTGCTACACCGCGCGCGGGCGTGGCCACGACCATTTGTCAGCTGTACAACTGGCGCGCCGCCCGCTCATTTATTCAACGCGTTAGCTATGTTGAATACGATTGACAGGCAGTCGGGTCAGAGCTCCACCATTCATTTGACAACAAGACTTGTTGCCCCTCGCTATGGTGCATGCTGTGCGCCCTGGCGCTCGGACGCACGATGCATAGAGTGTGCAGCATCAGGCACGCTGGCACGTTTGTTGTGCCTCAGGCCGCATGATCACGTTTACTTTTTTCGCTGCGCCATTCGGTTTAGGCACGCGGCCACGCGACAACATGTGCACCCTCTGCCACGGCAGCTCCAGACAGAGAAGTAAGTGTGCACGGTTGTCCCTTCAATGGCGCTTGTCCTATCATTCTGGACTCGCTGGTGGGGAACACGCCTGCGCATTACAGAGCGCGGCGGTGCAGGCTTCGCAGTGCACGTCACCTGCGCGCACCCATGTGCTGTTCAGCGCGCCCGGGGCATTGTCCATGCCCAGTGATGCAGCTGCGCAAGCACGATATGCTACGCCTTGGCGCTCCTATAGGCGTCGTGCTACGCACGCTGGGGCATTGTTTGTGCCCGGCCCGTGCCAGTGCGCGCGCCGTGCTACTCTCGCGCGCACTTGTGCGCCTTGCATCGCATGCTGGGCATAGCATGCTCAGCTGTGCGCCAGAGCCTGCGCAGAGGCAGAGGCATGGCACGCCTGGGTCAAACCATGACTTGTGTTACGCACTTTGGGGTGGCGTCGCGCCTGGTTGTGCGCCCCAACGCGCACAGGCTGGCGCACCAAGCGCACCTACGCCTGGCCAAGCTCGTCCCCAATCACCTCTTTCAGTGTCTCCCGGCACTGATGTTGGTTTCTCCCAACCACATTCAGGCTACAACCGGCTATGGTACACGGGATGCAGCTCAGTGGACGATCTTACACGAGCCAGGACAGCCAGCATGCGATGTCAGCCCGTGTGCACATCTACCAGAACGCAAGCCTTTTTCTGTATCTCTACCTCAATCCACTTACTCATCCACATCATCGTCTCAGTGGATAAGAGAAGTTGAGGTACATGCCAGCCGATGCGGGCACTGCTACCTCACTGCAGACCGCATCCCCGCTGTGCATCCACCACCTGGCACGATCTACCTTCAGCATGTAACCTGCTGCGGGGCCAGCACTTGACTCGTCCAGCACGGTGCCACTTGTTGGGCCACCGTCCGGCGGAGGAGTGTCTCCATTGAGGTCTCGCCGACTGGCTCAACGGCTTGACGCCCCTTCACCAAGGGCGTGTTCTGTCGGTCCGCACCGCAAATCTAGCGGCCAGCTTGAAGGCTACACTTGTAGTTGAGTCGGCGCCTGACGATCCAAAGGGCCGAGGTCAACATAGTTTCCCGCCTTCTATCCGACGGACCACCAGGTCCATGCAGAGCCGAGCACAACATGTTCGTTTTGTGGACGTACGCGCATTGGTACACAATTGAGGGATTTGTTTGTGATCTTCGCCGAGATTTCTCGTGACGCACGCAATCCGTCTCGTTGAATATCACATGGAGTTGCTTGTGACTTCTATCCTCTACCTTGGCTGATATGGTGTGCGTTTGCCCACAATCCCGCAACTTCGTTCTCGATCTGCTTGTTTTCCCCCATCTTGTTCTACATGCTCCTGTCCGTCTTCTGCTTCCTCTCTGCCAACATGCAGTGCATTGTGTTTTACTGGGCATTCTCTGTCCTTCCTCGCTGCCCACGGTTCCGACAGTGCGGCCTCTTTGCTGTATCTTGGATCAGTTGACAGGTGCAGAGAGTGAGGCCGCGCACCGAGCCATAACGCCCTGCGACGTGGCTGGTGTGCGCGTCTGCGCGCAGCTCTGTATGGTCAGATGCGCGTGCACGCCGGCGTTCCCGCGCCCGCGGCTGCGCGCCGCAAGGTACACGGACGCCCATCGAAGGGTTCATTGTTCAGTCGGTGTTTGATTCCACCACTTCACGATTGGATTGGCCAAATGGACGAAGACTCACGAGAGCACGAAGCGTTGCTGGATTGGCCAAATGGACGGTGTTTGATGGTACCACGGAGCACCAAGCGTTGCTGGATTGGCCAAATGGACGAAGACCCAGAGGGTCCGAGGCCGCAGGGAGGACGACAAGCCCGAGGACGTGGAGGAGGACGCGAAGCCGATGATTTGGAGGATATGCAGGAAGATGGGGAATAAAGAAGTAGGTTTTGCGAAGGCGACCACGTGATCGCCAGATTTGCTCAAATCTGCCTCTGTTCGGCCTTCCCTTTCTCTCGTCCCCCTCCTCCTCAACATCTTCGTCCTCCTCTTTTTTTGTTATCCTCCTTTTCCTCTTCCACCTCCCCCTCTTCTCCTCCTCCTCTTTTCCTCCTCCTCCTCCTCCTCCGCCTCTCCCTCCTCCTCCTCCCCCCGTCGCCCCCCAGGAGGGTGTGTGTGTGTGGTATGGGAACGCGAGAGGAGGCAGGACCCCCCCCCCGCGCGCACAGAGCAGGCCTGCAGCGTGCAGAACAGCTTGGTAGCCGAGAAAGGCGCGGTTGCCGCGCGGGGAAGGAGGAGAAGGAGGAGCAGGGGAAGGAGGAGGAGGATGAGGAGGAGGAGCAGCAGGAGGATGAAGAGGAGGAGATAATAAGAACAATCGAATCACGAAGAAGAGAACACATTACGAATATAACGAGTTAACATACTAATAATAAGAGTTTCGAGCTTCTTAAGATGTGTAGCTCAAGAATGCTGCGGACTTGTCTCGCACCTCGCCAGGCGCCCCGCCTGGATCCCACTGTCTGTCGACGCTGCCGCCCACAGAGCACGCTCGCCACAGCACGTACAGGAAGGAGAGAGCGAGAGAATATCAGGATGTTATCTGGAGTAGCAGGGAAGTGACTGGGGGAAAACGGGGTAAGCCAGCCCGAGCACAAGATGGCTTCGGAGGGCAGAGAAATAGAGACAGGTGGGCTGAAGGGAAGCGCGCGCACACACTGAGCACAGTAGAATTACAGCTCCCGAAAATATCCGTTCCCTTCAGCCTCCGATTAAACACCCAAGCATCACTGCTTGGGCCAACGCCCAGACTCACTACGCAGCTTATGAGCTGCCATGTCGGTCTCCTCATTCACGATACACAAGGAGCCTTCCCGCATCAGATTTACCGTCGAATCCATTTTTGCCCGTCGCTTAGTCAACCCATCCACTATCATGGCAGGATGATCCACCTATCGTATCTCGCAACCCATCGCATTCATCGCTTGGCGAATGATTTGAATTTGGGTAGAGCACTTCCAGTCTCGTCCTCCTGTCGTCTCACGCTGCAGGTAATCGTACAACGACTTTGCGTCCACGATGCACAGTCCCTTACGCAGGACCTCTGCGTTCTTCTCCTCCACTTTCTTTCCAGCCAGAGCCAGTAGACGCCTATGCTCACACCACCTCTCCCACTCGTCCAACCGAAACCCAGAGAATGCAAACTCGTGGCACAGAGTAACTGACCATCCCAACTCAGCAACGCCAGTATTCAACGCCAAAGTCTCCGCATGTAGTGTAGAGTCCACCACTCTCGTCATTCGCGAACTCCTCCACGCCAGTAGACTAGCAGGTCCTCTCTCTCCAGCACCCACTCGATTAGTAGTCGCCAACACTGCATATGCCCCCTGCGACCCACCTTCGCTGCTGTTGTGCAGGCTGGCATCCGATACCGAGACCCACATCAACTCTTCGAATGGAATCGACCACACCGTAATGCCCAGCTCTGCTTTGTCCTTCATGTGTTTCACCAACTGATTGATCTCCTTGACGTCATCGTAGGTCAGCTTGCACAATGCTTGTTGGAGAAGACTGCATCGCCCAGCACCATCAGCACGAAGTTCTCGCGTGAGCCAGTTCAGTGATCCAAGAACTGCCCTTGCCTGACTGCACTCGCCTGCCAAACATGCATCACCTCCACTCTTGCCCTTTGCCACTTTTACTGGGGCCAGTCTTTCTTCGATGAACTTCCTCATGGGCACGTAGAAATTGATATTGGCATCTTGTAAGTAATGTCGCCCATTGAACATTGCTCCGTCCGGGTCCTTCCACAGCGACTTTACCTTGCCGATTTTCCTCTGAGCACGAAGCTTCGTCATCATCTCCTGGTGCCTCTGGCCGCCCACATCGAAGATGTCATCCATCTCCACCACCACAATACCCTCCACATCTGGCTTGTACTGGATCCCAGGACCCTCGACTCCTCGATGTCCTCGTAGGTCTGCAAGTCGAACCAACAGCTGCAGGGGCGCTTCGGCAGGGAACAACATGAAGACCGTAGGGTCCAAGGTGCTCTGCCGGTAGCCCAGGTTCGCCAAATCTCGCTTGAGACCCTTGCGAAAGTGAAGTGGAGCGTCACCCAGCCCATACACTCCAGAGACCAGCTCGACGAGTTGCCCGTACTCCATACCTGGAAGTCCACTCTTTGGCTGCTCCGCGTACAGCTTGCCCTTCTCCCTCACCAGCTTATCGGACTGCATAAACGCCTTCCAGAGATCACCAATAGTAGCCTCCCACTTGTTGTATGTTGCAATCTGAAGAACCATCATGAGTGAACTAGTAGTCACCGTAGGTGCTGAGCGAATCAATGAAAGAAAATCGGGATCTTGATCGCCACGTACGCACCATCGGCTCTTGAAGCTAGCCTCCTCCCCGACCTTCTCCGAGGGCTTCTTCCTTCGCACCATTCTCGAGGGAATGATCCGATTCTCCTTCCCTTGGCGGGTTAGGGCCTCTTGCACCTTCCGACTCTCCTCCAGAGACAGTACTCGAACTCCACCCGTAGACTTAATTCCATCCCACTCGGTAGTGTCAGACGTGATCCACTCAGGCCATTCTTCAGCAGGAATATCTCGCTCTGTTACTTCGTCTCCCCCGCGCTTCTTCGTGAAGTATACCTCCTCCGACCTTGACCGTGATGCCGCCTTGATGAAGAAGATGTCCTCTTCGACCTGGTCCCTCCACTCCGAACTGAGCGTATTTTGATCGTCATCTTCTGGAAAAGACCTCGCTTTACCGCCCAGGTCCATCCTTTCGTTCTGCGCGACTGCTCTCTCGATGGCTGCTGCAATCCTCCTCCTGGTAGCCTCTGGGCCCTCCTTGTCGCCGTCCTCCAGCTTGCGTACTAGACCTCGGCTGAGTCCCGTCGCATCCAACTCCATTCCCGGCGTGTCTGGTATCTCCTCGATGCTCTTGGCTGCAGCCGCCGCCGCCCGTTTCAGCCATTCTTCTTCATGCTCCGTGTTTTCCTTGGGCTCACTCTTCGGCTTCACGTTTCTCTCGAACGGCTCTTCCACTGCTTCGCGTATCACCTCCTCGATGTCCTTGCGCATCTCCTCGTCCGCCGACTCCTTGGGTCCCTCTTGGCGTTCCTCAGGCTTTGCCTCTGGGGCTCCTTCGGGTTCTCGAGCTTGTGGTTCTGGTTCTCGGTGATCCTCCTCCTGCACAGGTACAGGTTCTGGTACTTCGGGCTGTTCGTGTACACTGGGTCGCCTTGACGGCGGTGGAACTGCTTCTTCCCGAGGTACGTGAAATCTAAAGGCTGCCGCCTCTGCCGCCGACCCCAATGCAGTCGTTGTGGGTTCTTTGGTTCGGGGGCCGCTTGTTGTCTGGATGCGATCTCGTGCGTGTTGGAGCGTTTTTTTTTGCGCGAGGTGGGGTCTTCACTGTGGGTCTTGGGGGCCGGTGGCGGGGTGTCCGCTGGGAGGTTGGCCATTTGGGTCGCAACCAAATGGGGGGCACCGAACGAATAATTGAGCAAGAGTGGTGTGCGGAAGCGGTGGCATGCGGAGCATCACCGCGAAAGATTTGGCCGATGAGTCCAAACTGTTGAAGCGTTGCGCGTGTGTGCAGCGTGCAAGAAGGAGTTTTCGCTCGGCAGCAGCACATAAGCGCCAAACAAGAGAGCGAACACTTCACAAGGAAGAGTAAGGTCGTATGCTCAGAGCGCATTGCAGTCGGTGTCACGGTACGTAGTTGCCAGGCCTTTCAGTGCAGTGGCAAGTGCCAGAAGAAAACGCCGGACTTGGTTTTCTCCGTGGACGCCATCGATGTCGCGCGTGACGAGAATACCGGGACTTTGACACGGAAGGCATGGAAAGTTGTACACAGCAAGCTGGGGACTTAATCCTTTTGCCCGATGCTGGGGGGCATGCGACATTATGTCACGGGTTCTCGGCTGGCCTGGGCGTGTTGTATGGTTGGCGAGATCCCCGAGCCAGACAAATGAAAACGGCCCAATCTGGGCTGAAGAAGGCCCAGGAGGCCCCTGACGCGTCCCAAACTGCTCCAAGGGATCCTCCAGGAGGACATCCAGGACGATCAAATTCATTGATTTTCATGGTGGCGGAGTGAGGGGATTGCGCTCACGCGAATCCATTTCAAGGCGTGCGCGTGTTTCGCTTCGGGGCAGGTAAACGTCGTCGCGTTTATCTTCTTCTGTTTCTTTCTTCTCTCCGTCCAGGGGGGAGGCCCGGCGGGGCCTGGCCGGGGGGCGGGGGCGGTCTCGCGGGGGCCCGGAGGGGGGGGGGGGGCGCGGGTGCAGAGGAGAAGGAGGGCCCGATCGTGGGGCGGAAGCCGAGGCAGGGCTTAGGGGCTGGGACACGAGCATCGCGAGCGCGCTCGTGAGCGCGTCCACAATCCCAGACATGCGACGTCCTGAGAAAATCAGGACGGCTATTTTTCGTTGTTTTTTACATCTGAGGCCTTCGCTGGGCTCCAGGACCGTCAAAGAACGACTCAGGATGAAAAATCCGGTCTTGGGGAAAGGGTAGGGACTTCCGGGAACCGCGTTCTGAAAAAGTTACGATGTCGCCATGTGTGGGACTAGTCTCTCTGTCTCTCTCGCTCTCCCTCGTCCTCCTCTGCCCGAGCGGGGGCGGCGGGGCGGAGGGCGAAGTTGCTATACTCGAGGTGTACAATCACACGGGGGCCGACATTACGACGTACAAACCATTATGGCCAATCGCGAAAAGAGATTCCCCGACGACCGCGCCGTGGATGATGAGCGCGAACTCTCGGAACGGAGCCGTGGGTTGTGGCCAAATGATAGAGGGCAACGATGCCGAATCGAGAGCCAAGCGCCTGCGGGTTACGGGGAAGACGAAGGCACTGGACCCAGTAGCGCAGGGAACTACCGGCTCCACCGACTCGGGCGGCACACCGGCGGCATCGAGCGCTATCACGGGCGTCAGCGCGGCACAGGGGGATGACGGCGAGGTCCATGCAAACGCGCCAGGCCACGTGTATCGGGTACGTGCTGCAAACATGTCAGACGACCCGCGACGGAAAAGGGAGGGAGATTTGGCAAGGGTCGCGAAAAAGCATTTAAAGGATGCACCGACGCTGCCTGCCGTCTCGATGAATGGGTCTGCCGTGGGTGAGGGAGTCCAAACGGCTGTCGGAGCAGTAGGCCTGCCGAGGAAACACTGCGCGTTCAAACGCCAGGTGCAGGATGGGTGGAAGTCTTGCCAGTGGCATGGAGATTCGGATGCTCATCTGTGCGCGCACTTGCTGGAGGAGCATCGCGAGCAGCTCGAAGATATCGCAACCTCGCTTGTATGCGTTTCTGATGAGGAAGAAAACAGCGAAGAAGTGCGTTACCTGTCTGCGTACAACGAGGTCGTGGCATGGAGGGTCCGTCAAGGAGCTCCTCTCGCCGCACTTGCCATTGACCGGCGATGTCTCCGTGCATGCGCAGAGGCGCTGGGAGACGATTCAGTATGTTCTCTTGTGTGCATGGTGCGTGCGCGGAAATTTCCTCACGTGGAAGGGCGCCGGGGGAATCCAATCACTTGGCAGAAGGTGTCGCCCGACTCGGACGGCATCTTCGGACTACCTGGCTCGTTCGTCAGGAAGCACTTTACCGTAGACAGTTATGTGGATCGATATGGCCAGGTCGGGGGTGACGTGCATCTGCGGGATCACGCGGAGGAGTTTGAAGACTGGCAAGCAACCATCGCATCGGTCGACGGGCCCCTGAAGGTGTTGTGTTGTCCCGAGGACCTGCGCTGCAGCGCGGAATCCTGGCACGAAGGAAACGAGGTTTGCAATCGTTGCGAGGCGCCGCTGTGCGAGGAGTGCCGAACGGGTATGTCTGGCCCGAGAGGCGAGGCCGTCGTACCCCCTGCAGCTCTCGCTAATGACATGATGACGTTCTACTCGCCGGAAGAGCTATTTGTAGGAAAAGTAACCTTGCTGGAGATGATTTGTGCGTCCGTGTGCGTTACCTCGATGGTGTGTTTCACCTTGGAGAAGAGGTATCGGAACGAACGGTCCTTTGACATGGAGGCGGGGAACAACGCGCATCGGATGGCTGCTCGCGGAAACGCGACGTCCTTCCCGATGCCGTGGACGGACATGCTCGCGCAGCTGACCGCCTTGGAGGAAGGGGCGTCGAAGGCAAGGCCGCCGTCGTTGCCGCGGACAGGCGTCGAACTGGCAGACATAGTGTCGGTGATATTGAAGTCCGGAGGTGACGACGATGCGGTAGCGAGCATGGCGAAGTTCGTACATCAGGCGTTAGTCCGTCGGAATGTAGTCGTGAAGTTGATCGAAGGGGCGAAAATGCGAGGGCACCGAGCGTATCAACACGTTTGCATGGAAGAGGTGCGAAAGAAGGCTGCGGAGCTTCCTGATGGTGAGGTGCCGCCCGAGATCATGCGTTTGGTGCCTTTAGACAACGCTCTGGACAAGATCCAGATGCAGAAGGCGGCGTCGCCAGTTCCGCGCCCGGATGGGTTGCACGAAGCGGCGGAGATCTTGGAAGCAACGAAAGGCAACGCCGTGGTTCTCGAGAAGAGCAGCTTCGATGACGGGGATATCAATGCCCAACGCGTGGAAGCCTTACGAAGTTTTGTACAGAGGGTGTCGCCAGAATGCGAACATGATGGAACCAGCGAGCGCACGGATGATAGCGACAGTGAGCCGGAGAGTGAAGGTCCCCGAGGGAAGCGCCCGCGCGGGGGCAGGGGAGGAGAAGAACCCGACGTCGCGCATGTGAAGGAGAGCGAAGAGGTGCGATTGGTGACGGAGGCGCATGAGAGGAACGAAGGAGTGGATCGTTTGCGGGTCTGTACGGGGAACACCATGATGGATCAATTCGAACCGTGGTATTTCGGCGTGGCGTTTGCGTTCATTTTCAAGTATTGTACAGGCATGCCCGACATGCCAGCTTTCCTGAAGCGTCCGCGGCATCGGCGTTCGGAAGAGGCACCGCGGGTGGAACTGCCGCTATGGGTTCGCATCATGAGTCGTCGCGTAGAGAGCCAGTTGTCGCGCGATTGGCATTTCGGGTTCGTCTCGTGGAACTTGGTATTTCGTTCGGCGGTGAACCTTAGCAAGACGTGGTTTACGTATGTCTCCGCGAACCCTAAGGACGTAGACGCGCAGATCACTCCCGAGGAGATCAGCGTAGGGGCGCAGCAGATCTACCGTGCATTGGCGGGGAAATACCAGGACGTGAACGGTAAGAAGCAGAAAGTCATGGGAGACATGACGAAAGTTCGCTACGTCCCCGGACTCGGCAGAGCTGCCCACAAGTTGCTCGCGAACATCGAGCACACGTCTCGACGACTACCAGGGACGCAGGAGACGCGGCGGGTCATGCGGTTCCAAACCAACGCGCTCCGCGTACGGTATGGTGTACCGATTTTCGTGACCTTCTCACCCGACGAAGGGCACAATCTCATCATGGTACGGTTGTCGCGCACGCGTCGTCGTGACCCCGTCCACAATGCGGAGAACGACGCAGGTGCATCACGGGCGGCTGGCAGTCGGGAGTGGCCGCAGGTCGGTCCAGGAACGGACGACGTGCGCCTGGAACTACCGCTGGCGGCGATATTGCCGCAAGTGCCTACGTGGGCGGAGCGCAGGAAGATACTCGCTCGGGATCCGATGGCGAGCGTTGAAGGCTTTCGTGTGATCGTGGATGCGACGATGCGGCACCTGTTCGGCGTGCGCACGTGTCCGAACTGCCCCCGATGCAACCATAGTGAGCGGATGTCGCCGTGCCAGGACTTGTTCGGTAGTAACGCTGCGCCGGAAGGTGGGGTGTTCGGCAGGGTGGACGCGTGCTATGTCTCCATCGAAGCACAGAAGTCGACGGGCGCGCTCCATGCGCACTGTCAGGTGTTCGTGCAGCGTCTACACCAACACACGCCGCTGGACCAAATCTTCGAGCTCGTCCGGAAGAAAGCGGACGGATGGGGGAGGAAGTTCGTCAAGGAATCGTTGGAGTACAAGCGACGTGTCTGCCGGCAGGAATACGCAGCGCGTATCACCGAATATGGTCTGAAAAAGAATCTGGCAGAAGCGGAGGCCGCGTGGCCGGAGTACAAGACGGAATGTGGGCTGGTGTGCCGTCCGACGTATCAGACTCGCAGGGCAGGGCAGAGAGTGCCGCAGGTGGACGAGGCAGAGGAGGCGTGTGCGTGGGAACGAGACTACCTTGACAAGGATGTGCAGTACCTTCAGGAGCGGAAGCAGAATCACGTGCATCTGGAGAACCCAGAAACGGGGGAGAGGGTGCCCTTGCCAGCGTGCCGTCGGAAGGACAACCAGAAACTCTGCAAGGCCGATTTTCCACGAACGGCGCAGCTCATCGACCATGCAGTCGTGATCTGCCCAGGGCTGGCGACGCAGCTGGATATGCCGAAGGCAGGCAGGCGGAACCGCGTAGGGAGTTTGCATGGGCCCATGAACCATGAGAGTCTGAATGGGACGCATCCATGCATGCTTGCCGCGCAGCGTTTCAACTCGGACGTGCAGCTACCGTACAGGTTGCCGATCACACACGAGAGCTGCACGTGCGGTAAAGGGTGTGCGGAGAAGCAGAACGACGCGGCCATCATCAAGGTGGTCCAGGTGGCTCAGGACGCCCAGGCAGGGTATGCGTGCGATTATTGTACGAAGCGGCAGCCCAGGGCCTTCCATGAAGTCAGAGAGTGCTCCCGAGGAATCGAGAAGCTCAGCCGACAGCTGCGCGGGGAGAACGCAAACTACGTCGGGAAGCGGATGTCGACGCGCATCATGAGCGACGCCTACGGGAAGGGCATCGTTCGCGGCCAGGTTGAGTGTGCGAATCTTCGAGCGTATTCCTTGGGAATCGATGTGACATCGGCAGAGTCGATCAAGACCTGTGAGACGACCAGTTTCTATGGGCGCGAGTACGTCGAGACGGTTGAGAGGCTTTCCGACAGCATAACAGGAGGGCGCAAAGCGCATTTCGCGGAGGTGGACATGCGAAACCCGAGGCGCCGGAAAGTCACAATCAGGGATGTGGCTATGTTGTACGGGCTTCGCCCGAACCGGGACGGCCTGTGGCACCTGTCGCCGTGCGAATTCGTGACGTATTGGAGGCCTGTGCTCGTGGCCTACCCCACTAATTTAAGGGACGCTGACGCCGATCGGGACAGGCACCACGCGTTCTTGACGGCGACAGGGAAGCAGAAAGTGGAGGCGTGGGGTCGGAACCAGGAGCAGGCAGCAGAGCTAGAGCCTGGAGTGGACTACATGGTGAAGGGCGACGCAGGAAAGGATTGGGTTGCCTTTCCAGACACTGACGGATGCCGGCATCTGCGGCACACGTGGGTTCTTGTCAGGAACAAGAGGCCGTTGGCGCCTACCTTTTTCGGGGCTCCCGTGCCTCGCAGCCGACATGGAGAAGCTGAGCGATCCGCGCGGATAGTCATGTCTTATTTCCACCCGTGGACGCTGCGACAGTCAGAGGCAGACGATCACGTCGTCTTCGCAGGCGGACTGCGGCGAGGCTCAAAAACGTGGGAGGAGGCCATGGTGTCGTGGCTAGACGGCGGAGTGCAGTCAGAAGAGGCTGCGCGATACGTGGGCAATTTTCTCAGCGTGTATCGCGTGCGCCCGAGGGATGCGGAGCATGGGGACGCGCGGAGTGATGAGGACGTGAGCGACGAGGAATTGGAGGTGGGCTTTGACCAGCTAGACGAGGCTCTGAAGTCACGCGTCGGTGGTCGGAAGCGTGACGACGGGGACGGTGACAGCAGTAGTGGAGAAGAAGACGTTGGGCCGGAGGGTGGTCTGGGTGGGTGTTCCCATTACCAGAACTCGAAAGCAGGCATGGCCGTGGCCCAGGCAGTGTGGGGCCAGCGCCCCAGTGAAAAGTCGCTTGGGGAAATCCGGAACGCGTGGCCGAAAGCCATCAGCTGTGATCTGGAGGCCGTGCAGGACGCAGCCAGGGCGTCCCGGAGCAAGGAAAAATCAATGGCTGACAGAGTGGCGGCGGAAGAAGAGCGTGGGAAGGTGGAGGCGCAGGCAGGGGCGACATGCGGCCAGGTGGTAGAGTGGCTCAGGGAGCTTGAGTTCAGGACTGACAGAAACACAGGCCGGCGCGTTGTCAACGCGAAGCAGTTCGAAATGGTCAAGCATGTAGCAGAGAGGGTGATGCAAGAGCTGGATGGGGAAGCGCGAGGGGGAGCGGAAATGGGCGAACCACTGCGGTGGTGCATGCACGGAGGACCCGGCACAGGGAAGTCACACGTGCTGCGGATTCTGCGGAAGGAGCTGTTCGAAGACATCATGCAGTGGACTATTGGCGTCCATTTTCAGATCACGGCCTTCCAGGCAGTCATGGCCCAGCTGCTCGGTGGAGACACCATACATCACGCCTGTGGTATTCCCGCTGTTAGACGTGGCGACGACAAGGGAGAAGATGTGAAACTTCAGTACGAAACAGCGAAGCGGGTTCTGCAGTGGAGGTGGTTGTTCATCGACGAGATCAGCATGGTCAGCGCCCGGCTACTCGCCGAAGTAGATCACAAGCTTCGCAGCGTTATTCGGGACGTTGGCACACAGAAGCGCGGGGAAGGTGGAGAGACGCGACCCTTCGGCGGTCTGAACGTCGTGATGAGCGGAGATTTTTGGCAACTGGCCCCACCGGACGGAGGGTTCCTTGCAGACGTCCCAACAGAGCGCATCGCGGAGGCTCGAAAGTACATGTCGCTCCCGCCAGTACTACACGGGCAAAGTCTCCTGCGGGGGGGAAGTGAGGGGGGCGTGCAGGGAGTAACGGAGCTAGTGGAGTGCGAGCGCTGCGACGATGCCTGGCTGAAATCCGTGCAAGAGGAGTTCCGCAGAGGAGAGCTCACGGAAGACACGCGTTCATTTTTGCACGGGAAGGCTACTAGTGTCCCAGGGAGTTGGCTCCATGGTGATGTTGGGTGTGGGAACCGAGAATGTAGGGCCTTGTGTGTCAGCGCAGAGGGCCCGCACAGGGAAGCTGTCGGAACACGCCGTCGGCGCTCAGCAGTGACCCCGGCGGAAATCCGCAAAAAGGAATGTGGGGCGTGCAAGGATGAGCGCGCACGGCGCTGTCTCGTCATCACAGGACCAGATGACCCGCGCATACACACGGAGAAGTTTCGGCGCGCCCCCGGAGTGTTCCCGAATAGCGACGTCAAGTATGAGGTGAACAAACTCCGAGCGTCGCAATATGCCCGACTGCACCGGAAGCCGATGGTGTATGTCCCTGCGCGCGACACTCCGACGCCAGATGCTCTGCGCGAGCGGCCAGATCTGCCACACCAAAAGATGGCCTGGCTGCAACGCCACGACAAAGAGAGCGGAGACCTGTATGGTTTTTTGCCGATCGCGGAGGGACTGCCTGTGGCCCTCACCGATCACATCGACCGCAGCGAAGACAAGTACCTGCTTCGCGGACGCGTGGGGACCGTGCACTCATGGGTATGTGATGGCGACGAAAGAACAGGGCGCGTCTCCCGGGGAGGGGAGACTATCTTGCAGAAGACGCCGAAAGTGATATTTGTCCAATTCGATGAGGGTCTCGATGAGGCAGGGAACGTAAAACCGTGCGTGTGGACGATAAAGGGGCTGACCACGCCGGGCCTGTACCCAGTAACTCCGCAAAAAAAAGATTGGTTCGTGGACAAGGGCCGGCCGTACCCGCGTCTGAAAGTGAAGCGGCGGCAGTTCCCCTTGGCCCCAGCGTTTGGAGTTACGGCCCACTCAGCACAGGGCCAGACTTTTAAGCAAGGCGTCATCGTGGATCTGAGGATTGGCGGGGGAACGTCGCCGTTGTCGAGTTATGTGGCTCTGACGCGCGTGCGTCGCCGCGAGGACATGTTGATTTTCCGGCCTTTCGACCGCGAGCCGTACACTCAGAAGGAGCGGAAGGGGCCCGGATACCTTTTACAGCTCTTGCGGGGCGATCCCAATGACCCCATCGATTGGAATGCAATCGAGAAGGAGTTCATGCCTGCAGGGAGGTGCGCGGTGTGCTCGTCGGTGAAGTACAAGAACCAGTATGCGCGCGGGCAGTGGAGCCGGGACGACGGACTCCGCGTGTGCACGGTGTGCTTGGAAGGCAAAAAGAGCATTGGTACGCCGTGGCAGTGCATGGAGTGCTTTTATTGGAAGGGCGAGAGCGCTTTCCACGCTTCCCAGCACCACAGCTCGAAGTTGACGTCACGGCGTTGCGTGGACTGCCCCGAGAGGCGAATGTGTTATGTGTGCGACGAGCGGAAGTACGAGGCAGCGTTCGCGGAGTTTCAGTGGGACAAGGCAGGAAACTCCC